CAACCCTGACACACAGTTTTCTTGATTTTAAACCATGCAGTATCCCTTTGTACTGGTCACGTAACTGCCTCTTGGTCTATGTACAGGATCCTCATGAACACAATTAAATGTTCTGGAATTCCCACATTCTTTGCAATGTTATCTATAATTTGTTATGATCCACATAGTTGAATGCCTTTGCATAGTCAATAAAACACAAGTAAGTATCTTTCTGGTATTCTTCACTTTTGGCCAGGATCCATCTGACATCAGTAATGATATCCCTTGTTCCATATCCTCTTCTGAATATAGCTTGAAATTCTGGCAGTTCCCTGTCAATGCACTATTGCAACCAGAATGATCTTCAGCATAAATTTACTTGCATGTGATATTAATGATATTGTTTGATAATTTCTGCATTCCACTGGATTACCTTTGTTTGGAATAGGCATGTACATGAATCTTTTCCAGTTAGATGGCCAGGTAGCCATCTTCCAAATTTTTTGGCATAGACAAGTGAGTGCTTCCAGCATTGTATCTGTTTGTTGAAACATCTCAAAGGGTATTCTGTCAGCTCTGGAGCCTTGTTTGTCACCGATGCCTTCAGTGCAACTTGGACTTCTTCCTTCAGTACCATTAGTTCTTGATCTTATGCTACCTCCTGAAATGGATGAATGTTGACCAATTATTTTTGCTAAAGTGACTCTGTGTATTCCTTCCATCTTCTTTTGAACTTTCATTGGAAATACCTTTCTTCAACAACACATGGACCTTGCTGAGATGGAATACACAGGAATCATCATCAATATATCAGTCAGTCAGGGGCCAACTGCAGAACAGGTGATCAACTGCTCATATGTAAGTTCAAGATGACGCTGAAGAAAATTAAAACAAGCACATGAGAGGCAAAGTATGGCCCCGAGTATTTCCTACCTGAATTTAGAGACCATCTCAAGAATAGACTTGATGCACTGAACACTGATGACTAAAGGCCAGACAAGTTATAGGATGACATCAAGGACACAATACATGAAGAAAGCAAAAGGTCATTAAAAAGACAGAAAAGAAAAAAAAAAAAAAAGATCAAGATGGGTCTCAGAAGAGACTCTGAAACCCTTCAGTGTAGAGTAGCTAAAGCGAATGGAAGAAATGAGGGAAGAGTTGAATAGAAGATTCCAAACGGTGGCTCAGGAAGACAAAGTATTATAGTGAAATGTGCTAAGATTGGGAGTTATAAACCAAAAGGGAAGAACATGCTTGACATTTTTCAAGCTGAAAGAACCAAAGAAAAAATTCAATCCTTGAGTTGCATATTTAAGGATTAAGAGGTAAAGGAAGTTAGAAATACAATGGTGATGGGTACTATTATTACAGGAGGCTCATTCACTGAATTTTTAAAAAAATTATTTATTTTTGGTGATAACATATACAACAAAATATATACTACTTCAACAATTTCTACACGTTAATTCAGTGACATTGGTTACATTCTTCAAGTTGTGCCACCTTTCTTGATAACCTTTCCAAACTATTTCACCATCATCATCACAAACTAACCGGCCCTTAAACTTCTCATCTGTCCTTTCAAGTTGCTATGGTCATTGTTCATTTTAATGTCAGAAGATATGACATTTTTGAAAAGTAAGTATTTTTTCATATAAGCTGGTTTTAGTCAGGATTTTATAAGCATATTTTATGTGGTTAAGACAGATTAGATATTATGAAATGATGTTTTCTAGGGAAGTGTGGTTTGTAAGTAAGCTGGAGAAATCTTTTCATTTATGGACTTTAAATTAAAAGAAGAGATCAATTTTTCCACTGTTTGCTTTTGGAGCCTTTCATTTAAAACTTAAAAACTGTGAAATAATGCAAACTGAAAAGCATAATATTCTCTGTTCCGTAATTGTCAAGTTTAGTTTATTCATAAAATATTTTACTGAATGGAAATATTTTTTTAAATAAAAATTTACTCCATTAAAGTTACTAATAGTTTTAAACACTACAAAAATATTAAAAAAATAAAAATAGTTTCAAAACTAAAGAAATCAAGAAATGGAAATGCTGTATCAGCGGTACGATATAGTACCTGTGTGTTACCTCTTGGAGATGTTTTAGTTTCATTAGAATTCACTTAGTATTTTTTTTTTTGAACTGACATGATGCAGGGGACATCAAGCTCAATTGGCATAACGTACTACACAAAACATTGTCCCACCTCCTACTTTGGCGAGTAGCGACTGGGATCTTAAAAGCTTGCAAGCTGCCATCTAGATGCCATGATGGGTCTCTCCTCATCCAGAGCAAAGAAGAATGAAGAAAACCAAAAATTCATGGAAACAATTAGTCCTAGAGACTGGTACACCATCTGATCTGCAGCCTATACGACTATGAGACCAGAAGAACTAGATGGTGCCCAGCTACCACTGTCAACAACTTGGAAGGGGATCTATGTAGGAGATCCTGGATAGAGAGGGAGAATAATGTGGAACAAAACTCAGAATCATTTGGGGAAAGAAAAAATCGGGGGGGGGACCAAGTTTGCTGGTCCGATAGAGCCTGGTAGAATCACTGAGACTATGGTCCCTAACTGCCCTTCAGGTCTGGAATTGAACCCACACCTGTGGCTTCCAGCCAAACAAAAGACAGGCATATGAGTTGAACATTTACCTGAGGTAGATACACTCCTTGGAGAGAACGATCATGGGAGAAAGAAGGGCTGCTTATGCACAGGGAGACAGCTCAGGGGGCAGCAGTGCATGGAGGGATGGACACAAGGAAGAGGTATATCGGGAGGAAGTGGGAAGGGAGTTGTTGCATTGTGGTAAATTGTGGTCAATGTCATGAGACAAAGTGTATGTGAACTGCTGTATGGAAAGTGAATTTGCTCTGTAAATTTTCACCCAAATCACAATAAAAAAAAATCTGACATGATTATACATATAAAGTTCCAAATTTTCACTGCATTTATTTTCTGGCCATTATTATTTGCTGTGTTGTGATTATACTTAAAATAATTTATTGCACAATTTATAGTATTAGAATCCACTTTAGATCAAATACTCTAAGATATACCAATGTACGACAGTGTATGCAAACTTTTTCATAAAAATAGAATGTGCCTTTTCTTTTCAGTTTTGCCTTACCTTGTGGTACATAAAAGGATTCAAATAAAGAAATTAATTCAAACAATGATTTAGCTACCACTTACATGCTTTCTTCTAGTCACTTGGACACTGTACCGAATAAAATAAAGTCCCTGCCTCCACGAAGCGTCTATCTGGAGAACATAAACGGGAGATGGCTTTCAAAAGGAAATTTTTAGTCCTAGCACAGTGCCTGTGCAAGGTAGATGACACTAGTGCTTCATGTTGCTTGTTTTTAATTTTAATGTGCTCCATTGAAAAATAAAGACTTTTCCACATATATATATTCCATCCCAGCAGCTCAATCACCCATCTACTTGTTAAAATTGTTACCTGCTTTGAGAAAATTATTATTCAAATGTATCAAAATATTTGTATATTAAAAATGTCTTCTCCTAAATATAGTAACAATGACTAATATCACTTTATAGTTTATAAAACATTTTAAGAAATCATGTAATTGAGTCTTAAAATAACCATGTGAGGTAGAGAGAGGAAGACAAGTACAATTTTGGGGTTAAGAGCCCAGGTTGTGGATTCATGATATAATCCCAGTTCTGCGACCTTTAAAAATTTACTTAATCTCTCTGATTCTGTTTCCTTGTGTGTAAAATGCTAATACTCAAAGCCTCCTTATATGGTTGTTGTACAGAGTAAAATAAAATGTTTAAAGTATATGTTATAGTGTTTGGTATAATAAACAATAAATGGTGGCTATTTTCCTTAGAGATACCTTAACCTGACTTTACAAGTAAAGAAATGGCATTTCCTAAAATTTGAGACTTAATAATTCATAGTTATGAAATGGAGGGTGACATCTGAATAGCAAGCCTGAGATTCCAAATCCTTCTTCTAGTTTTACTACAGTGCCTTGTAAGAAGATACTAAGAAAAACAGACCATTGTTAGAACATTAACATTAATCATTTCATGCTGAAATTTATAAGGTTATCATTTAACCTATCTACCATTAGCAAGTTTTTCCTTAAATTTTGAAATAAATGTTACAATATAGTATATTATAGCATCTTTCCCTAAAAAAAAAAAAAAAAAAAAAACAAACCACCTTCCATTCCTCCCCCCTTGGTCAATACCATTTACTGAAAAACAGCAAGGATATACTTAAATATAAAAAACCTTTAGCATCCTAAAAGTTGAAAACGCAGCAAAATGCTGTAATTTTTAAGAAACGTCGGCTGGTCCTGACGAGCTATATAGAAAGATTGGTCTCAACCAGTCGTAAGAAAGGTTCAGAGCAAACCCAGCCCGGTAAAAGCGCCTCACAGACTAACAGATTCCGCAAGAAACGCTGATCTTCCACGAGTCTTTCAGGAAACACACAGAACAGAGGGGATAAAGGAAGTCAAAGAGGCGTCGGTGGTAAAAACAGCGGAGAGGGTTTTCCAGGGAAATCGAGAGTGCGTGCAGTCGGGCGGAATGAAGGGAACTCAGAGAGTATTTGGCGGACACCGAGGACTGAGAACAGGTCTGGAAGCATCGTGAAGGAGGCGTTCGTCGTGGCATGCGGCTGCCCGCAAGCCTCTGTAGAGTCGTGCAGATTTACACCCCTGGTTAGCGTGGAAGTTAGGAGAACAGAGCGCGGAAGAGGAAGCTGAGAGACGAGGAGACCTTAGAGTAATGACAGGTGGACGCGGGTCAGAATCCGAGGTCCGCGGGCCTTCAGTCTGGCACCAGCTCCAAGACCTTCGAGCCACCGTAACCCCGCCCCCTCCTGCGCGTGGCGCCCATGACGCTAGGTGCGCGGGCTGATCTTAACAGAGGTCGCTCTTGTCCGAACGGTCGGCCTCTGGTGCGCCTGCGTGGTCGGGAGGGGAAGTGAGGCGGTTTCCTCGGCGCCTTTTCCGGCAGCAGCGGCGGCAGAGCTGGGAGGTGGTGGAGGCCGGAGGGAGCCCGCGCTCAGGGCGGCGGCTGGAGGTAACCCCCCCCGGGCTAAGCTGGAAAAGCGGGCCCCTTCTCAGTCCTCTCCTTTTTGGAGCTCTGACAGTAACTCTCTTTTCTCTGTGTGTGTGTGTGTTTCTGCAGGCAGCGAATCGAGTTCCCGCGAGGATCAATGACCTGACGAAGCGCCGGAGCCGCACTGCCTCTCGGGTGGCCTGGGTCAGTGGTGAACACGGTGCTCGCTGATCTCGGGCGGGCCGGAGAGCCTCACTCTTCTGTGGCTGGGTGAGGAGAAGGCGGAGGAGCGGGAACCGCGGCGGCGCTCGTGCGGCGCCTGCGGGGGGAAGGGCAGTTCCGGGCCGGGCCGCGCCTCAGCAGGGCGGCGGCTCTCCCGGCGCAGACTCAGGGCCCCGGCAGCGGCGGCGACTGGAGGAAACAGGGTGTTCACTCGGGGATGCCCGAGTGAGCAGCGGGCCTGGGCCTCTGCCCCTAGGCGGCAACTCCCAGCGAAGGCTGCACGGGCGCCCTCGCGGCAGGGAGGCTTCGTTTCAGTTTAGCGGCGGCAGCGGCATTGTTGGCTGAGGGGACCCGGGACACCTGAATGCCCCCGGCCCCGGCTCCTCCGACGCGATGGGGAAGGTGCTATCGAAAATCTTCGGGAACAAGGAAATGCGGATCCTCATGCTGGGGCTGGACGCGGCTGGCAAGACCACAATCCTGTACAAGTTGAAGCTGGGCCAGTCGGTGACCACCATCCCCACCGTGGGTTTCAACGTGGAGACGGTGACTTACAAAAACGTCAAGTTCAACGTATGGGATGTGGGCGGCCAGGATAAGATACGGCCGCTCTGGCGGCATTACTACACCGGGACCCAAGGTCTAATCTTCGTAGTGGACTGTGCCGACCGCGACCGCATCGATGAGGCCCGCCAGGAGCTGCACCGCATTATCAATGACCGGGAGATGAGGGACGCCATAATCCTCATCTTCGCCAACAAGCAGGACCTGCCTGATGCCATGAAACCCCACGAGATCCAGGAGAAACTGGGCCTGACCCGGATTCGGGACAGGAACTGGTATGTGCAGCCCTCCTGTGCCACCTCAGGGGATGGACTCTATGAGGGGCTCACATGGTTAACCTCTAACTACAAATCCTAATGAGCATTCTCCACCCATCCCCCGGAAGGAGAGAAATCAAAAACCCATTCATAGGATTATCGCCGCCATCACCTCTTTCAATTGCCACTTTCTCTTCTTTTGAATTTGAACTCTGGAGTTACTGTTCTACGGTTTGGGAGGGCTTGGGGGTTTTCTTTTCTTTTTTTTTTTCTTTTGCTTTGCGTTAGGATGCTCTAATTTGACATGAATACAAAGTGCTAGATGCTCTTGTTGACTTCCCACAAATGGGATGGGGGAAATATAGCAAATCTTGGTAAAGTCCTTTATAATAATGGTTTGATTTTTCATTTCGAGAGAATCTTTTTTTTCCCCAATGTATGCTTTTTATTTTTCTTTTTTGCCCAGTTTCCTTATCACTTGCTGTAGATGGCTTATTTTGCATTCATGCAGACTATGTTGCAAGTCTGTTTCATCTAGTAAACTGAAAATTATTGCTTAATCAAACTGCCGTTTGTCTTTTATATTTAAGGTCTTTTCCCATCCCTTATAAGTTCTAATTTTAATTTAGTAATTTCAAATGTGACTTTTTATATCTAAGACCAGTATAGTAAACCTAGCCCTCAGTGGCAAATATGAGTAATATCATTGTAAGAATGTTCCAGTTGCACATCAGTATGTTTAAACAGGTAATGTAAGAAGTGCTTTGAAACGTCAGCTATTAAGTTCTGAAACATACATCATGCATGAGTAGGGATAAAACCCAAGGTTCCTCATAACATAGCTACCTATGCTGCGTAAGAATCTTAAAACTATAACCTGTGAAGGACACAGATCTCATTGCAAAGTTAGCAACTTTGCTGTGTTTTCCCTTTTTTCAACTTTAAAAATACAGAAAATGGCTCAATAATGGTGTATGCCATACACAGATGAGTTATTTGTAGATACTTTAAGTGACTTTGGCAAATCTGGATACTTTTCCCTTGTTTTAGACATCTAAGACCCGTAGATTAAAAATTATTGAAATAATTATTCGTTAATAAAGCATTTAACAGTTCAAATCATATGAACATTTTTTCTAGTTGAAAAAAATGCATTCCTGTTTTTACATTACAGCAACTGATTAAGCTGAACATACCGATTTTTACCCGAGTAATTCACATCTTCATTAATTAGAACACTGGAAAAGATGTTTTATAAAAAAGATATTTAATTTTGTTAAATTGTAAGATTATTAACTCATGCAGAAGTAAGTGAGATATTCTGTGGGTTCAGTAATATACCATCTCCTTTAAAGAAGGAAATGTGATGAATGAATGATGTGTAGACTTAAGAAATGACAAAGGGAAGGTAGGATAAAGAGAAAACCTATAGATGACAATGAATGTAAACTTATATTTGAAGGGTAAGCAGTGTGTTTGCTTGTGATATCCAGATCTAACAATATTCCTTGCTTAACTGGTTAGAACCAGTAACTAGGTTGTTAAGACCACTATAATAGTACTTTGAACCAAATGTTAATGCTTGCTACAGAATTACAAAGCAGCATCTGGTTCTTGTATAGCCTTAAGGATTAATTTTAGAGATCCTCAAGGAATTAAACTTAGGGAAATACAGAAATGAAGAGTGAAAAGGCAGTATACAGGAAAAGGTTTTGTTTATGAGGGTATCTGAAAACTAAAATTGAGCGGGTTATCATGGTATTGTTGGACAGTATTGGTCCTTCCTTCTTTGGCCATATTGTACAATGGAGCTTTTACCAAAGATGTTTGAGAAACATATGGTTATAAAAATTAACTATTCAAAGTAAAACTTGACGTTTTCTTTAAAGCAGATGAGAAGAGGTGCTATGTTTGTAGGCTCCTAATGGTGCAAAGGGATATTTGAATTTAAGATGGCAACTAAAATAAAAAGTTCTCAATTTCACTTTAGTGTAAGTATCTAGAAATGAGGCTGACATGCATCTAAGAACATTTTGGTTGCTTTTAAAATTCCCAAAGCTCCACCATAAATTTAATTCTTTGTGTTTTAAATGATTACATTTTAAGGTACATAAACATGGGTTATATAAATATCAATGCTGTAGGAACATCCTGAAACAAGACAAGCACAAAGGTATAAATGCCTAAACTGGAGGAAACTTGAAACCCTCATGTTAATTTTTAAATGTAGTATTTCTAACTTGTGACAGATTGGTAGGCAGCCATTTTTTGTGTGTGTGTGTGATAAAACAACTGGGGGCATAGTTAAAATTTTATACACCAAGTGATTGGTTTATTTGAAATGTCTGACTGAAAAGGGGGGAGGGGGAAGCAAATCTTTGAATATTGGAAACCCTAAATCCTTTAGTAAGAAATTGTAATTCTCACATTCTCTTTGAGGGTAAAAAAGGTGTAAAACTGATAACGTTAAATTGAGCCATAACTAGTGATCATGGAGCAGGTAATTAGATCCTGCAGAAAAAGTTATTATCTAAGAATTAAAAAAATAAGATCTTGAAGTTTTTGTTAATTGCATCAACTTCTGTATTTATGTGACTATAAATTGCAGTAAGTTTTGAATGAGGTTAATCTTGTCTAATATAAGTAAATGAGTCTGTAGACTGTGATCTCCCCAAACTAAAAAGTACAGTACTTGCAATTGTGTTCTTTACGGTTGTAGTGTTGGTAAAGCACTAATATGCAGAAAATAAAGGAATTACACAGTGCAGTTTCTCACGTTATGTTACTCGTTTGAACTAGATAAGTGGGATATGGTATGTTTGGGCTCATATTATTTTCCATGGGAATAGGGTATAAAGTGATTTAATTTGGGAGTTGCCTGGTTTTTATAAGAACAAAAAGGAGCATCAATTTGGTTCTTGTGTTGGCTGTATAAAGGGGTTTGCCCTCTTTTAGTACCACCAAGTTTAATCTGATTTTCATGATAATTTAGGAAACCAAAACAGTTGGAAATAATTTTTTAAATTAAAAGTTTTATAGCAATCTTTATTATGCTACTGTTTTTTTTCTTTCCCAAAATTACAACCTCACTATTTTAGGAGTACAGAATTGTGTCCAAAGAATTGACCAAAGGAAATGTCTTAACCCTTGATAATAGACTTTGGAGTTTAAAGTTTGTCTTTTAGAGATCAAAGTTTCTTGTCTGATAAAATTGGCAGAATTTTAGCCATTTAGAAAAGTAAAATAGTAAATGGAGAATAACTTGTTGGATAAAAAGGTTTTTTTAAAACATTTCCTTTGTGATAAGCTATCTTTTTTCTGTCAGTAATTTTTGTACTTTGATTTTAGACTGTCTTAATGTGATCTGTAATTCCTACGTTAATATTTATTAATATATTTAGTACTGTGATTTAGTAATATAAATGATCAACTTATTGTATTAGCAGTAGAAAATATTCTTTAATGAGTTTTTATGCTTTAAGTTTAGAAATACAGTAGCTATAATCTGAATCGTGATGGAGCTTGCAAAAGTCCCAGTTATTTCTTCAATACCTTACCAAATACATGTCAGGGTTATAGTAAGTCAAGTCTTGTCTCTTTCCTTACAGGTAGGAAATGTATTTCTAAAACTACATACAGAATTAAAGATAACTTCAAATTTGACTACTGAGCATAATGTATTTGCAGTATAACACTTACAAATGTTAATATATAAATTTAATATTCAGTAGATAGCTTTTTTCTTTGTTTATATTGAATGGTAAAAGACAAAGTAGAAAAGATTACAATATTAGGAAGTTTATAAAAAGGAAATTTTGAGAGATGAAGCAATTCATAGAGAAGGCAAAGTAACTTCTTGCTTTGCCAAACATGAAAGTTGTCAGACTAGATCAGTGAGTTGAATGGGCAGGGACACATAGATTAGATCAAAGAAGACAACAGGTCTACAGACAGGGTCAGAAATGAAAATAGAAATTTATTCTTGAAGAAGCTAAAGTAATGGCATGCTTGTTTTCAAATATATTAAAACTTACCAAACGTAACCTTACTTTGCAGTATGATAAGAAAATGCTTAAAAATTAAGCTTTTTTTCTTTTTAGGCCTTTATTCAAAATATTTTATGACTATTTGAGAGAATTTTAAAATGAAAGTATTCCCTTTGTCAGTCTTGTCCTTGTTCATTTATCTCGTACAGGATATAATATACACTTTACCCCATGTTGTTACGTGCCGTCGAGTTGGACCCAACTCGGCAACCCTTCCTTGGGTTTCCGAGGTGGTATCACTACAGCATAGTGCTTGTATTATAAGTGTGAGGGTAGATTTATTAAACATATTTACTGAATGCCTACTAATGAAATGCCTGTCACTGTTCTAGGTGCAGTAGGCATATCAGTGAAAAAACTGACAAAAATACTAGCTTTCATGGAACTTATATTTGTGGGGATGGTGGCATGATGAGGATCAGATAAGTAAATTTATAGGATGTTAGGTTATAACAGTATATGCTATATAAACCAAAAACCAAACTCACTGCTGTTGAGTCAGTTTGACTCATAGTGACCCTTTCTGGGGTTTCTGAGGTGGTATCTCTATGGAAGTAGATTGCCCAGTCTTCCTTCTGAGGAGTGGCTGGTGGGTTTGAACCACTAGCCTTCTGGTTAGCAGTCAAAAATGCCTTAGGCACTATGCCACCAGAGCTCCCATATGCTATATAGTATGTATAATACGTACAGATACACACATATTGGACTAAGGAATGTGTTTAAAGAAGGCCTCATTGAAAAGGTGATATTTCAGCAAATACGTGAAGAGATAACACAATGGAGTTGACATAACATAAAGATACGCAGTGTTTCAACCAGAGGTAGAAAAACTAAAGCCAAGGGTAAATCTGTATGTGGTGTATTTTTATTGAGGCTGAGCTAAGAATGATTTTTACATTTTCAAAGGACTGTAAGGGGGAACAGAAAAAGATGAATATGTGACATAGGTGGTATGTTAAAACCCTAAACTATCTGGCCTTTTATAGAAAACGTTTGTGGATCCTGGGTCTAAAGCCCTGTTTTTAAAACATTGTTAAAATTTTTAGGAACTGCAACAATTTAAAGCAAAAGACCATTGTTAACATGAATGAGTTTTAATGAAAATTTTAGGAAACAATGGCATATGTAATTGACTAAATTTGCACATTTAGTGGGCCCTGAGGCTTGTTACTGATTTCAAATATAAAATAGCCTAACCTGGACTTTTTTCCCCAAAAAAAGTTTTAAGGGTATGAAATCAAGAGTTCCTCTGTACCAATGTCAATTTTAACAGTCTTTAAAATTTTGTACGTAATTTCATTTTAAGTGTTTCCTTTTTTTATGGTACCTGTACTTGTCTTTGTATTTAAGGTAAAATGTGTTTCTCCATTCAAGTGCCCTTTCTTCCAGATAGCATAGATTAGTTCAGACAGCATCACTAAACTAGTTTTTATTCATTTGGTGTTACTGTAATCAAGTCCTGAATCCAGTAGTTTGTATTATGAAACTTTAAAAAGAAACTGTTTTATTGACTTGGAAACTAATATGTTGCATCATAAGTGACATTACTCCTCTAATCAATATAAACTAGGAAAATAATTTACTTCACACATGAAATATTGTTTCCTGGAGAGTTGCTTTATACTACCTATATAGTACCCTATGGAAAGCTGAAACTATTTTAAAAGAGAAACTAAATACTTCAAGAGTTAATGGAAATAAGTTTTATGGAGGACATTTATAAATGAGCTTTAAAAACATGAAAACATTTATAGCTCATAGACCTAT